AAAAGTAGTTTTTATTACTGCATTATGCCTAAATTATAGCTTAATCGAATCGGCTGAAAAATTATTTGGCCAAATTTTATCGGGTGTTCCAGAAATTATGAAAATAACATCATATCTGGATTTATTTTTGCCTAGATTTATTTTTATGTCTGGATTATTTTATATCCGGATTTATTTATATCCGGATTTATATGGATTTATATACTATATCCAGATTTATTTAAAATTTGGATTAATCCAGATATAAATATGTATCCGGATTCAACTACTACCTCTATGCGGGACACCTAAATTTTTGCTTACTGTGTAATATAAATCTAGTATTTTGATTGGTCGAATTCCGTGTAACTAAGCTAAATTAATTTTATTGGCTAATAAAATATATATATGCTTTTTATTTTTTACGCCAAATTTTTAAATTACAGTCAGACCCCCTAAATGCAACCCTAGTGCTCAACACAATCAAATACTTGAGACTAAATCGGATATCAAACAATCGCAGGTTAACCAAAACTGAATATATAGTATTGGTTGGTATGTAATCATTTGATGTCCGGCTTAATTACAAATATTTGACTGTCAAATTTTTGTTTGATTTTGCCGAGCACTATGCAACCCCCTAAATGCAACAACACCTCTCTCTCTAAATGCACAATAGAAGACTAGCCCCATAATGAGACTTGTTGATAAATGCAACGTTCTTTATTCTGCTAATTGTCTGGCCCACTTATAAAAACTCCCTTCATAAATGTAACTACATGATTATCAGCCAATCAAATTCATCATTTCTAGGCTACTAAAGCCATATTTATAATAGTAACATTATGATTTTATCAGTGTTCTCTAATTGCAACCCTCCTTAAATGCACGCTCTAGAGCTGGTCCTGACGACGTGCATTTAGGAAGGTCTGACTGTGCTATATAAAAATTCCAAAATCTTTAACCATTAATAACTTTTGATTAACTGGACCGTATATCAATGAGACAATTCTAATGAGCCCCAAACCACTTAAATTCAATCATGGGATCCCGAGATCGATAATGTTTTATTATTGATTAAACCAATCCTGTGACACAAATCCTGACGATTTCGGGATCCCATGATTGGATTTACGATTTTGAATCGTCTCATTTAGACGGTCATTTTGATAGTAAAATCATTCAAAACGGACCAGTGAATCAAAAGTTATTTATAGTTAAAGTCTAGAATGTTTAGAAAAACGCAACTCCATGATATTTTGAAACCACAATGTTTTTTTTTTGCAAAATATAGTCTATGCCAAAATCTTTAATCACAGTAAAATTTCAACTTTCATTTTATATATCATATATATAGTTATTTTTTTTTAAAAAGTAAACTTTGATAGCAAATATCACTGTGAAAATAAAAGTAAGCTATAGATAATTGATGTATATCTTATAATTTTTCCACATGATGTTCGGAATAATTAATTATCGAAGATGAAATTCATCATGTTTGTTATTTATTATAAGATTTATAAAAAATTTTATTCTAAATTTTAAAGTTAAAATTAGACTTTAGAGTTTGTGTTACGTGTGTTACGTAGAAATGTTTTTTTTTTAGAGCTGTACTTTTTTTAGTTGGCATTTATAGCAATTCCGAACGCCAATTACAGTTACTTGAGCTACGTATCGTTATTAAAATTAGGTTTTTGCTTAATTTTAGTAGTTACACTGAATTCCAAATGTCATTAAAAAAATTAACTATTAACCTAAAAAAAAGTGTCTTTGATCCTAACATTAAATTAAGATTCATACATATGTATATGTGCACTGTGTATACGTACATAATAATAATGATAACGATACGTTCTATGTTATCTAACTATTGATAGACAATTAGGCTTGGCAATACATAATACTTGGATTCTTTAAATCGTCCCAACTATTTTTGATAATTATAACTTTTTGATAATTATTACCCAAAAGTAGCTCAGAAAAAAATATATATAATATAATAAAGGTCCACTTATTTCAATTTTTACCTTAGTATGCAAATTATTTAATAAAAATGATAGGAATGCAAAGATTTTCTTTTTACTTAATTATTTGCATTGTTTTTCTTTTAACTTATATTTATATACCAAAATTTTGGTGGCAAATCGAACTAGAAGGTATTTTTTTTATTAATGTATATCACTTTGAAAATTTCACAAATACTCGTTTAAAGAATGTGTACATCTGTAGAAAGTATTTTATTATAAGTTTTACAAATTTAATATATATATACATCAGATTATAACGTCAGTAATAATTTTTGATCAGATGAAAATTTTAACGTACAACATAGATAACACATTTATATGTATATATATACCAAATTTTAACAAATTTTTGTTTAAAATATAAATTATAGATTATATTCAAAAACAAATAAGCCCAATTGAAGTAATCTCACCATCAAAATCCAAAGCAATATCCAAAGACATCTCATCAAGACCAGATGGATACTCTTTTACCATCGTTACAGCAGCTAGTTCTAATCATTGGTGTCAATTAACTTATTGGATAAGTCACATGAACAATCTTAAATTATTTTTACCAAAAAACATAAAATCAAGAATAATAATTTACGATTTGAATTTAAAAGAACAACATAAATTTATACTAGATAAATTCAAATCAAAAAATAAATTTAATGAACTACGAAAATTTAATTATACGAAATATCCAGAATTTTGGAATCTAAAAGAAAATAAAACTTCAAGAGGTGAATATGGTTGGAAAGCTGGAATAATTAAAGAAATTTCAAATGAATTTCCAGGATTTTTAATTTGGTCAGATTCTGGAACTATTATTAGTCAAAAAACTTTAGAAAATCTTCCTGAAATTCTTAAATTACATAATGGTTTTATTTCTTCAAAATCTTCTGGTACAATGGCTAAATGGACTCATCCGGGTGTTTACAAATATTTTAATGATGATGCTAAAAAATATAAAAAAGTTCATAATTGTAATGCCGCGAGCTTGTTTTTTGATACAAACAGAACTCAATATTTAATTGACGCTTTATATGAATGTGCTCTTGAAAAAGAATGTATAGCACCACGGGGAAGTAGTAGAAAAAATCATCGACAAGATCAAGCTATATTGACTTATCTCATTACAAAGGATCGCAGAAAATGTGAAATAAATGATAAAAAGTTGGGCGCAAAAGCTCATGGATTTGATCACATCTGTAGAGATGACAAAAAGATTGCAAAAGACATTGAAGCTGAAGATAAAAAACACATTAAAGCTGAAGATTAAAACCACGTTAAAGATAAAAAAGGCATTAAAAAGTTATAAAAGATAAAAAAAGATAAAATATGAATATAAATTTTTTACCATCATTTCCATTGTCAAGAACATTTTCATTATATACTGTATATATTATCATTATACAGTATGTATATAGGTATTCTGGCGCGGGTGGGTAATTTTGGAATCGAAAAATTTTAGTACTATTCGATTCGTCTCATTGAGATGATTCAAGTTATAGTTCAGTAGGGTCAGGGAATTGTAATGATGGTTTAGGCTGTTGGGTAGTGAATTTAGGTTCCTGGCATGGTTCTAATGGTTCACGTATTATTCACGTGTTCAATTTTTCTTTTATATACTATGTATATTTTCATTCGGACAATTTCTGTAAGGAGGTGCAGTAATACAATACAAAATACCTCCAACCTGAAAAACAGTAGTTTTTTAAGATTTAAAAGTTTAAATTTTGAAGTTTGTTTTTTATCATTCGATATAAATCGAATGATTTTATTTCGCTAAATTTTGTAAATAAATACGCTTTTCCTTATATGTACAACTCTTTAACTGTTTAAGTGTGCCATAATACCCGACTCTCCCTTATACGTACGTTTTTTTTAAAAATCTACTAATCCAAATAAAGAAACGAACAGATTTATTAAATCCAGAAATCTCGTGATTAAAGGAAAATTTTTATAAAGGTTGTCCAATTTCATTTACCATTACTAAAAGAAAATGGTTGTATTTCAATTTCCAAATATTTTAACTTTAGTTTCGTCGATTATAGTTTCTCAAGGTAATGTAATCATTTCATTATTTTAATTTCGCACACGATGAGGTTCTAACTAAATTATTGAAATAGTCATTACAACGTTCTATTATGCATATAACATTTGTGGCAAACTTCAAATGGAACTTCGTCGTGAAAAGAATTTTACTCCTGCTCAACGAGAAACTTTAGCTTATGATGTACCACAATCTGGACCTTTGGTATCAATCATCTTCCGATTTTCCAATTCTTAATCATAAAAATAAAATATCGATTTTAATTCTATTTAACTCTATGATTATTACTCGAAATTAAATTAAAAAGGCAAGCATATTAACAACATTCATATTGACTCTAACCTTAACAAACGTAATCTCTGAATTAAAGATAAACGATGTCCAAAATTTAATTATTACGAGCCTTACACTTTGGATTGGTAAATTATAAATATGATTTCAATAAAATACCTTTTTTATTAAAAAATAATTTTTTTTTTCTTACCATTCATTTTTCATGTTTATTAACAGTTACAAGCGCTTTATTGTTCTCACGTTATGTTAGTTACAACATGGCCATAAAGTTATTTTTGATTGATACTATTCACGACGCGTTACAAATTGTTGGTGTATCATTAACTGTACTTTATTTTTCTTAGTTCTCGTAATGATTGAGTGATCAATATAGAGTAAAAAGAATGATCGATGAGAATAAAGATCCGAATATCGACTAATGAAATGGCGAATCTTTAATTCTTTTTGATTCTTTTTTGATTTTTTATGTAAATAATCACACAATACTTTAATTGAAATACTTTAATTTGAAAAATACTTTAATTGAAAAATATTTTAATTTGAAAAAACATTTTAATTTGAATTTGTTTTTGATTAATATTCAATTAAACGATAATTAAAATTCAATCAACGAATGAATACAATCAAAAAACAACGTGAATGTATAATAATTTACTGTAATATTAATCTCTTTTCAAAGGATAACTTTCAGTAGTAACTCCATCTTGTTTGATAATAAAAATTTCAAGATGGTCTCCGGTATAAATATCTCTTTCTGTAGCTGACGTAAATGCATCTTTGGCGATACAAAGTGCTCTATCTAAGGTCAAACGTGGTTTTTCAACAATTTGCACATTTTTAAATTCGACCTACATAGTGATATATATATATATATATATTAGATTGTAAAAAAATAATCTATAATATTATGAGACAGCTCATTACCTGATTGTCCAGAAAGGGTTGAATTAGTGAAGCTGCTGTCCCAACAGCTCTACAGTTTTCTGATCCATAGGATCCTATAGGATCAAAACTGTATACTATACCTGCACCTAAATATAAGAATAATATATATTTATTTATTTATTTATTATATTGTGATAAATTATTACATAAATTTCGAACTATTATTTACCATTTTCATTGACACCACCAAGTAAAACCTGAGTGTAAAATGGAAAAAATCGTTTAAAGTATAAAGTGTTGGAAAGCAATTGAGCAAGTGCCGTTATTGACATTTCTTTTTCATGGGAATGTTTATACCACTAATGTTATATAAAATGATCTTTAATTTTTTTTTTAAAAAAAAATATAATAATAAACGTTATTTAAAATTACGTCTTTACCTGCATTCTTTGAGTAAGTCTTCTAACCAATGCGTTACCATCAGCTGCAAATCCACTATTTGCTAATACCGCTTTTTCGGACCTGTAAATTATTTTAATTTGATAAAAATAAATATACAAGAAAAAAAAAAAAAATTTGATTTGATACAATAAATTTGATTACATTTTAAAAGCTTTGGGTGCATATCGCGCATTTATAAGATAACCGTTACTTTGACGAGTATCAGAAGCTACCACACAAAAATCCTCCCCTGCAATCGCCAATGCAGTACTATTATATATAACAAAGAGGAATGAACAGGTTAAACATTCGAAGACTGACAAAAATAAGTCGTAATAAAAAATGCTTTATCAAATCTCAAGATCACAAAATAATAGTTACCCGCCATTAGCTTCATAAGGATAAAAGCTACGCTCAGTAGGCACTGAGGTTAAAGTCTCGTTATAAAAATCGGTAAAATTCATTGAATAATGATTCTAAGAATTTTCAAATCGAAAATTGAAATTGATTTAACATTAAATCATCGATATCGATATGAATTCTGTGTAACTCTCCCGTTTTTTGATGGTTACGTTGATACGCACATCACGTATACGTACGTCACATACGTAAGGTAAAATTTTTGTTCGAGACACTTTTCACCTATAATCTCTATGATGGATGCCTTTGTGAATAGATTTAAAGGGACTACTGCTCTTTGGTCCGACGAAAGTAGTATGCTCGGTGATTTCGGCTCTTATGATGCTGTTAAAGAATTCTCTCACCCAGTCTTTGAAATTCCCGCATATCAAAATGCAAGTATACATATTTGTGAATTCGTTTGATATTCTTATTAAGTGCAATAACAGATACCAAAAAATCAAAATAGCCTGTCAAATTCTTAAAAGACTGCACCGATGAAAAATCTGATTCTGAATGTCATATCAAAATTGAACATGGTACAACTACACTAGCTTTCAAATTTCAAGGTGGTATCATGGTTGCTGTTGATTCGCGTGCTTCTGCCGGAAATTACATTGGTAATTAAAAAAATTTTATTGAATCATTTTGATCTTTAAATACATCTATGTAATTAATAATTTATGTATACCTTTTAATGTTTAGCTTCACAAACTGTAAAGAAAGTCATCGAAATCAATCCATACCTTTTAGGAACTATGGCTGGTGGTGCTGCCGATTGCCAATTCTGGCAAAGAGAACTTGGCAAGCATTGTCGGTGAGTTTATACACATCAATTAATATTCATAAATACTGTCTTGTTGATATATTATGTTTTATATATTAGATTGTACGAATTGAGAAATAGAGAACGAATTTCTGTCGCAGCTGCTTCTAAGTTATTGGCTAATATGGTTTACCCATATAAAAGAATGGGAATCTCAATGGTATTTAATAAAAACTGATTTATTAATTTTTAACTTTATAATTACTTAATATTTCAAGGATTAATAACTCATTTATTATCTAGGGAACAATGGTTACTGGTTGGGATAAAACTGTATGTATGTTCACATTTAATATATAATTTTAAACCTCAAAAATTTTTAATTATTCAAAATTTTATAGGGACCAAATTTGTTTTATGTTGATTCTGATGGTAGTCGTTACAAAAATGATGTATTCTCTGTTGGATCTGGTTCACCATATGCATATGGTGTACTGGATAGCGGATTGGATTATGAATTGTCCACAAATGATGCTATTGAACTAGCTAGACGTTCAATTTATCATGCTACTTATAGAGATGCTGCTTCTGGTGGTTATGTTAGAAGTATGTATATAATTCAAATTGATTTTTATTATTTTAATATTTTGTCAAAATTTTCTCATTTTTCTTACTCTTAAAAATTTTTTAAAATTTTAGTTTATCATGTTAAAGAACAAGGTTGGGAATTTATTGGCTTGCATGATGTTGGTAACCTACATTGGGAATACCAAGGGTTATAAATAAATGTATGCCCAATTTTTTTTATTAGTAACAATATTTAAAATTATATTGTATAATTATAAAGATTATACAATTTAAATTTGTTTTACTAAATCTATTAGTAAATGTAAATACCTACAAGTATATAACAAGGAGGTTGATAAATTACACTACTGGTGTTCAACACTATACTTAATTTTAACAAATTTTAACCAATCAAATTTGTTAAATTAAAAAATACAATACACAATATAAATTAGATACCAATACCACTTTTTACTATTTTTGAAACCTGAAGTTTTCTAAAAAAAAACTTTTTTTCTACTAAGCAAACTTCTCTTCAATTCTTAAATAAACTTGTAGAAAAATATCTTGTAGTTAAAATATTAAAATTGGCTTAGTGGATTGTGAAATATAAGTACTTTAGTCTTTTTAACTATATATTTTCTTGATTTATATAAAGAAGAAAACATATAATTACAAAGACTAAAGTACTTATATCTCATGATCCACTAGGCCAATTTTAACATTTTAACTACTATTTTGATTACAAAACACTTTTTAACAAGTTTACTTAGAAGTTGAAAAGAGAGGTTTACTTAGTAAAAAAAAAAGTTTTTTTTTAGAATTTAGAGTTTTTTTTAGAAATCTGAAGCTTTATAAAAAAAAATTTTTTTCTTTACTAAGTAAACCTCTCTTTGATTTCTAAATAAACTTATAGAGAAATATCTTGTGATTAGTGTTCAAAGATAAGCTGGCTTATCACGGCTTGCTGCAGCTTAATGCAGCTTATCACATAATAAATTTGAATTTATCACCAAGCCATGTGGCAAATTCGAAATTATCCTGTGATAGATTCGAGAATATCACATGACTTGGTGATAAATCCGAATTTATCATGTGATAAGCCGCATTAAGCCGCAGCAAGCCATGATAAGCCAGCTTATCTTTAAACACTACTTGTGATCAAAATGGTAGTTGAAACATTAAAATTGGCTTAGTAAATCATAAAATATAAGTACTTTAGTCTTCTTAACTATATATATTTTTTATTTATACAGTACTATAGTTAGGGAATATACTGAATTAGAAAATTGGATTCTAGAATGATCCACATGTCAAATCACAGATTTGATTGGTGCTTGGTTAGTATTCTTCAGGAATTTTTTTATATTCAAATTTATTACTAAAGCTTATGAATAAGCACATAAACAGACAGTAGAAAACATATAACTTAAATAATTCACAATAATCTACGTGAGTTAATACTTGCTAAAAAAGAAAATAAGACTTAAAAACTTGCAAGATTTTATGCTTATTTAGAAGGCTAGTACACGAAAACTCAAGAACTTTATTACAGTTTTTGCTAACTAAATAAAGATTACTGTTCAAAAACTTTACTATATACATATTACTTAATATTTCTATATTTGTGCTGCTTTTGTTTATATATATTATTTATTAACCAGATCTTTACATAATATCTTTTCAATTTTATATTTTGTAGATTTAAAGTTATTAAGTATAAAAATCATTTGGTGGTTTATTTTAATTTTGTATTATTAAAATTATTTACTAATCAGTTAAAATAAGCTTAGGCTTTTATTTAATTAGTGAACTGGAAATATTATATTTATTTAATATGCATTAAGGTAAAACTACTTATATTATTCAAACTATAGACTCTTATTATTATGAAGTGCTCAAATTTAGTTTAATTCATATAACTTGGTGTTTTTAGATACAGATTTTAATTAGAATTTCTTATAATTTTAGTTTTTTTTTATTTAAATAATGCTTATTAGGTAAGCTATGCTCTTTAGAAAGATAGACCAAATCTAAAATTTAGTATAGCAGTACAACAATTATTCACTAAAAGTTTACTTAATCAATATCATGTAAAGATAGGGTTTATACTTGGTTAGCTGTTGATATATTGCAAGCAAACTGTTGCTTAAGACAGATCCAGGATATAGGTAAGATTTCCAAATAACATAAAAATCTGATCTATGATCAAGATCAGCCCTTCCCAGTTATACAAATTATAACAATATATATATAGTCTTTTTTTTTTTGTTTTTCTTTTTTGCTACATTGTTATGTAGTAACTTTTTTTTTATAGTTTTTTTTCGTTATAGTGTGCCATTGTTTGAAGTCGTTATATGCTTATAAAGTTTCCATATGTTGTTTTTTTTGCTTGGATGTTGGTGCTTTCATTTAATAAAGTAATATTGTACAGCAGTACAAATTCAACAGACATATGAAAATTATTGTGCCATTAATGAAGACTTGCATTCATTGATGGTTAGAGTTAAGATAAGTGTTAATATAGTCTTTTTTCGGGTTGTATTAATTGAAAAATTAACTTTGATGAATTTTTTTTTTTTGAACTTACTGGTGCTGCCTCACAGAGTCATCATATATTGGTGTCTTCACTTAAAGTCATTGTATGTTGATTCTTGGCTTGTATTTGTGGGTACCTGGTGTCATAAATCATTTAGGTTTGATAGTAACTAGAGAGTTAGGGTAGGTTGTATAAAAGCTAGATAGGTTAGAGTTATAGCACATGTGGGATTAATCTAAAATACTAAAATAAAAAAATAATTTAATATAAGTTAGATAGAGTTAGGGTAGCACAAAATAATTTAAAATAATTTAAAATAAATAAAATGATATAAAATAAGTTAGATAGATTAGGTAGTGCAAAAGCTAGAAGTGTTAGAGTAATACAGAATTAATAGTGTATTAATAAATAAAATAATTTAAAATAAAATGTATTCAATCAACAACTCTTTCCGACGATCATCTGGACCATATTTTTCTGAAAAACTTTTTGACTAAAAAACAGTAACGTACTGCAAGAAAAATGTAAGA